GTACGATATGATCATTAACAGACTAGTAAATCTTATTTCAAATGATAAGGCAAAAATAATACACTAAAACCATACTTTTCCTATAAAAAGTTACACCTTATCTTCTGTGGGGACAGCTATCGTAAATGAAGAAACAAAGCAGATGTGATCACTCCACTGCACACCCAGAAACGTTACGGAATTTGGTCATCTTCTTCCTCTCCATCATTTCAGCATCTCATTTCCTCTTCTCCCCTCAAAGACTTTGTTCTTCCTCTTCTTCCCCTTCTTCAACATAGTCATCATCATCTTCTTCATCCTGAATTTCTTCTTTCATTAGATATGAGAGGCCCACTTCTTCTGCCTCTCTTAATTCTGAGCCTGCTTCACCTTCTTCTCTTCCTCATATCCTTCAGGTGGACCAGCTCTATCTTCCTCTTTGTCTTCATCATCTTCATCTCCATCCTCCTCCTCTTCCTCCTCTTCCTCCACCGAGTCTGGTGCTTCCTTATCCTCCGATTAAATCCATCTAAGTATATGATTTGCTGCAGCAGTTCAAAAGTACTTTCTCTACAAATCTTCCAGGTTTGTAATCTCACAGTTAAACAAGGCAAGACTTTTCAAATTTTTAAGATTTTGCAGAGCTTCTACTGTACTGAGATCTTTGACTTTGTTTCCACTCAGATTTAGAAAGGTAAGATTTGGACATTTCTCTGCCAGGACTTCCAAGCCTCCAGAAATTATATTGTCACTGAGCCCTGATTTTCGAAGTTTATTTAAGCTGGAAAGCCGGGCAAGTGGACTTAGTTCCACGGTAGCCATACTCAGAAACTCTAGTTTTTTAAAAGTATCGTTCAGGCCTCTAATTTCCCCACTGAAGGCAATTATCAAGAACTCACTCAGTCCCCTCCTCCGGAGCTCTGTTCCTTGACTCCAGGTTAATCCTCTTCTCTATCCATGTCCCCCTCCTGCCTTCTGCTACTACTCTCCTCCCTTTGCCTTTCCTGTCTTTCCCTCCCTAAAATTCTGTAAGATATGGAAATGAATGAACAGAAACGCAAATATAAACGCCCACTACCGCCATAAAGGTGTGGGGAGCAAGAAGAGAATAGTGAATGGAGTCCAGGGAGTTGGGACTGGAACTCCGCTGTCCCCACCCCCTTGCCCACACGCCAGCGTGCATGCGCACACACGCACACACAGTTCCTTCCCCTTCGGCGGCTGCTCAAAGACTGCCGAAGAAAGCGTTTGACACCTTTGAAAGCCCTGAGAGAATTTCCCAATAGCCAATAAGCTGGTGCAACACGGAACGTAAAGGACAGACAGTTCCCCCAAACTCAGCAACTAGGCAACTCTAACCTAGAAACATCCTGCTTTACTGAATATCTCACTTGTTTGCCCATTAACAAAGTCCTGTGATCCACTCTGGGTTCAGAGTTTGAGCCCCCACAGACAAGCTCTGAGCATTGTCCTGGGTACTGGCCCTGGGACAAGGACAGAGTGATGAGGAAACATGTGCCCTGCCCTCCTGGGCTCACTGACTACTGTGGGAGACAGAAATGCAAACAAGTCAGGAAGCTACACCACCAGAGGCTGTGCCACATGACCTAGGCACCCAGCAAAGGAAGCAGCTGTGTGTGCCAGGGCTCACGTGCAGGTAGGACGGCAGCACCCAGGGCTGGCAGGCCAGGAGGTCTGAAAGGCAGCACAGTCTCAGCCTGGGAGAGGCTGAGGGGTTTGGATTTCTTTCTACAGGTAGGTGTGGAGGGAGGTTTTAGGCAGGCCCCTTGGAGGGGGCAGAGAACAGGACAGAGGCAGGCAGGAGACTGCTGGCAAAGTATAGGCAAGAGAAGATGAGGACCCAGGTGAGAACAGGGGTGTGGGCAGGAGGGAGATGCAAGGAGGGCACAATCCTCGGGGCTTAGTGACCACAGGACACGGGGAGGGGTGAGTGAAGGAGAAAGAGTCAAGAATGGCTCTGGGTTCCCAGCTGGAGTCCCCAGCAGACGAAGTGGCCCCTGACAAGGCAGGAGTAGGTGGACAGGGAGCCAGCTTGTGGCTTTGCTCAGACACGAGACATGGAAGTTGGAGGGGTTCACAGGACAGTCGGGTGACGATGTTTCAATTAAGAGATCTGGGCCGGGCGCAGTGGCT